ATCCACAGTCAAAAAATAAATGCTCATCAGTTTCTTCTGCCATTCCACATCTTCGACATATCGCATTCTGGATGACATGTCTTCTTTTTAAATTTCCACCAGTAGCCAAGCTCTGTGATAATAGTTTCCACGCAAAATGTTTAATTTTTTGAGGAAGCTTTGTTTTCCAAATTCTCTGTTTAAGAGTAACATCACCCTGTGGTGCCTGTATTGGAGGATTTTGCAGTTGATGGGAACTTAACCAATAGCCCGACTTGACCGTATACAAACCATCCTCATTATAGTGCCATCCCATCAAGTCTTGTTTAGCATTAGGACTTAGTTGTAGAGCTATAATCTTGTCTACATCGTCCGGGATAATTTCTTCGTATTGTTTTCTTGTATCCCAAGTATGACTACCAGGATGAAAGAAACTATTAACTTTGCCTGTCATCAGAACTCTGTCAAAACGTGATCGTGGTGGTCGAGGAGGGTTTTCTGGAAGCCAGGGGTCAGACCACATGTTAATATGGGAACCATCTCCAACTATATAGCGCATCCCTTTGGCAACTAACTCCTTTCCATGAAGAATGGATTTCCATGCATAAGAAGCTTTTCTCTTTTGAACAGCTTCAAGTATACTGCAGTCCGGGAAGTATCGTGCCTTAAGTATTCTTGCCATAAGACACGAAGGATTTTGAAGGATTCGCCACACTTGTTTGCCTAATAAGGCTTGATTGAAACACTCCAAATCCCTAAATCCAAGTCCCCCTTCTCTTTTAGGAACACATACACGTTTCCAAGCATACCAATGCATTCCTGTAGTTTCTCCTTTTCCCCACCAGAATCTTGCCAAAATGTTATTGATCGCTTCACATATCTCTTTAGGTAACCGAAATACATTCATAGAGAAAATCGGCATTGCTAAAGCAATAGATTTAAGCAAAACTTCTTTACCACCACTAGATAGATGTTTCTGCTTCCAACTCTGTGTTACCGCTTTAACTTTTTCAACTATGTATGCAAACATATCGCTCTTCTTGGTTCCAAATTGCTCAGGAAGTCCCAGGTACTTACCAAAGCCACCATCATTATGTATTCCCAAAATGTTTCTCATGTGTGTCTTTACATGATCTCGTACCTTGCTGCCAAACAAAATAGACGACTTATTGAGGTTGATAGATTGCCCTGATACTTTTTCATATAAAATGAAAATATCCTTAAGTTTTTGAGCTGCCTTTTTGTTGGCAAGAGAGAAGAATAAAGAATCATCAGCAAAGAGGAGATGATTCACAGGAGGAGCATTATTCGAAATCTTTATTCCCAATAAAGATCTATTATCCATCGCCTTGTTCATCATGTGAGAGAGTACTTCAGCACAGAGAATAAACAAATATGGAGACAAAGGATCTCCTTGTCGAATTCCTCTTTGGGGAAAAATATGTCCCTCTGGAGAGCCATTAATCAAAACCGAATAGCTTACTGAAGTAATGCAAGTCATTATCCATTTGATCCAAATTTCATCAAATCCCATATTCCGCATTGTAACTTCCAAAAACTGCCACTCCATTCGATCATAAGCTTTAGCAATATCCGTTTTAACAGCCATGTAGGAAGTAGCTTGTCTTTTCCGCACCTTAAGGCTGTGAAAAATCTCATGAGCAATCACTATATTATCTGAGATAATCCTCCCCGGAATAAAAGCAGATTGGTTTTCAGTGATAATGCTTGAGAGATGAGATTTTAGCCGGTTTACCAACACCTTGGAAATGATTTTATATGAAACATTACATAATGCAATCGGTCTAAATTCAGCCATACCCGTAGGAGGATATACTTTCGGGATCAAACAAAGATTTGTATGATTGTGTAGCGCATCCAGACCTTCTCCATTAAAGAAGCTCCTAACTTCTTGCATAATTTCAGTTTTTGTTTCTTCCCAAAATTGTTGGTAGAAAATTGCAGTAAACCCATCAGGTCCTGGCGCACGATGGGATCCCATATCAAAAATTGCTGCCTTTACTTCATCCTCTGTAACCATACGCAAAAGATCTTGATTCATCTCATCCGTTACTCTCTTCGGAAAGTCTTGAAAAACACTCCTATAGAAGCTGGGGTCAGTACCAACGGAAGTAAACAAACCCTCAAAATACTCTGTAGCAACATGAGCAATTTCCTTCTGTCCTTTTGCTATAACTCCATCGCTACCTTGAATCGAAGTAATTGTATTTCGAATTCTTTTGCCTCTAGTGACTGCATGAAAATAACGTGTATTCCGGTCACCAGCTCGTAGCCACATTAGTCTACTTTTTTGTTTCCAAAATATCTCTTCCTCCAAGTATGCTTGATTTAATTCTTGTCGGATTGAATTTTTATCTTGAATACTCATCGAATTCGAAACTGTTGCTCTATCCAGGTTGCGTCTCAGGATTTCTATTTTTTCCGCAGAGTTGTTTCTATTTGTTCTCTTCCATCTTGAGATATTCCGTCGACAACAACTGAGTCTTTGTGTTAAAGGTATCCGTAACAGTTGACCTTGTCCTGTACCATGCCAGCCTCTTGTAACAGTGTCTGTAAACCCCTCTTTATCAATCATCCTACTATCAAACCTGAAACACCTTCGTGGCTCTTCTTGTTGTGACGATATAAAAGTAATCAACGGTCGGTGATCTGATTCACCAATTTCCAGGAACTCTGTATGCGAAGTCGGGAAAGCAGAAAACCACTTTGTATTTGCCATTGTTCGATCCAAGCAGCATTGAACAACATGAGTTCCTCTCTGACCAGCCCAAGAAAATCTATTACCAACAGTTCGAAGATCATTAAAATCACAGTCACGCATCATCTGATTGAAATTTTGAAAAGATATTGCAGGTCGTGTTCTTCCACCCCTTTTCTCGTGATTCCCTTTAATATCGTTAAAATCACCTAAGGCAAACCAACACTGATCTCGTCGATTGATCCCAAGACGAACTAACCTTTCCTAGGTATGATGTCGCAGGGCTGGATTTGGGTGTCCATACACAAATGAAAAATAGAAAGGAATTTCATTGCATAGAACTTGACAATCGACTAGATTTACAGACTGACTGATAATAGATAACTGAAGATGATTCTTCCAGTAAACTACTAAACCCCCACCTACACCAACCGGAGGAACAATTTCACAATTAAGAAAACCTAACTGAGCCCCAACGTCTCTGACATAATCACTTTGCTGCTTTGTTTCTGATAAGCATATGATGTCCGGGAGATACATACGATTGATCTCCTTTAGGCGTCGAACTGTCGAGTCAATGCCTAAACCTCGACAGTTCCAGCAGAGTGTTCTCATGGCGGCTGTGGTGGTTTAGGGCCCACCGCGCCTCTCACATTTGTTGTAGTTGCATCAGCAGTGTCTTCCTCACTGGGTTCCTCTACGACCACATTCTTCTTGCGTCTTGTGTACCTCCTCTCACTTGATTCTCCCCGTTCCAGATTAGTAAACTTGGCAGTGTTACTGGGAGCAGTCGTCATCCACGCTTTCCTCTTCAAACTCTCTTGTGCTTCACTCCTAACCCCAAACGGTGAGATTGGGTTATACATCTCCTCCATATTAAATTCCTCAGAAAACATTGTCTTTCGTGCATCCCCCATCCAGAGTTCCTCATCATCATTTTGCTCCACAAGAGCATCAACCCCTCTTTCATACTCTTCCTGAATGATATCATCTGGATCACGAACCGCATCACCCTCTTGCTCATCAACAATCTCTTCAATAAGAACACCAGAAGTATTCCTTCCCACCATATCAACATTATCGCCCTCCCTGTTTCCATCTTCATCATCATTTGCATCCTCATTGTCATCATTATCACTTTCCTGAAAACGTCCTCCGTTCTGAATTAAGCAAGCTCCCGAATCATGTGTTAACATGCCACATACTTCACAGAAACCCCGCAGCCTCTCATAGGTAAACCGCACCAAAGTGTTGACCCCCTGAGAAAATTGGAAATTTCTCTGGAATCGTAAAGGATCATCAACATTCCAGTTGATTCGCACACGAGCAAAGTCTCTTCTAGCCGTAACATCGGTATTGTAATCCACCTCCATATACATACCCAATGTTCGCCCAATATGGATCACCACGTCCTGGCTCATAAACTGAAAAGGTATTCCCCGAATCTGTATCCAGAAGGGAATAAAATTCAGCATGAGTGGATTAAAAGCCGGAGTCCATCTCTCCATGATAAGCATCCTATCAGCAAAAGCCCAAGGACCTCTGCGAAGCACCATTTCCAAAGCCTCCTCAGTTGGAAAGATAAACTGAAATCGTCTACCCTCAATGAGTCGTCCTTGGATTCCTTCATGACCCCAATTCCTTGGGAGCGTAGCAATAATTGCCCGTAAGTTTTGCCTTCTGGGTATCACTGGCCTTCCGACGATAACAAATCGATTTTCCGCCACCGCATTATCAATTACATGTACTGGAAGTTGGAAAGGAGGGTCTTCTGCACCCAGATCAAGATTTTGGATACCCCTTCGTAAATTTTCCGTCATGGTATGAAAAACCCCAAAATTCAGAGTGAGAGAGATTTGCAAAATAGAAGAGAAAAGAGATACAAAATGATATCTCAGTCCTAATCTTTTATACTTCAAACTTCGAGGAAGTTGAGAAATATGCTCTTCACGATCGTGGTTTTCAATCATGGGGATAACTGTCAGGAAATGGGGAAGTGGGGATAGCCATCTCGATCCATCTCCGAGAAAATTGGATTTTGTTGGTCGGAAGTGAAGAAAATCCCGGTGAGTAACCGTCGAAACCAAAGTAACCGAATCGCCTTTACCGTCGCCTCTCTTCGCTTCATTTTACCTAAAACGAGAAGATATTCATTTAAAATAAATACTCACAGAAAAAAACAATCTAATAATATATATGATTATTGGAAGAAGAAATGATCCAGATCATTAGTATTCTGTTACGCACGTTTTGAGGGGGAGACAAAGAAGAAAGTCTGTTATCGTGTTTCCGTTTATTGTACATTCAGAAAGAGAGAGAGAGAGAGAAAACCATCGAACCAAAAACAAAACATATCTTATCCATCTTTCTCCTCCCTTCCTCAAATCGTCTTTCTCTCAATGGGAACGTTCACGAGCTTACGAAAAGCCTATGGAGCACTCAAGGATTCCACCACCGTCGGTCTCGCTAAGGTCAACAGCGAATTCAAGGTCAGATTTGAATGTTTTTGTTTGAAATTAGATCATAACATTTTCTTGGCAATGTTTTCTTGAAAATTTGATCGATGCTTGTGTTTTTGTATATTGGATTGTGTTATATTATGTACATAGGATTTAGATATTGCGATCGTCAAGGCAACGAATCATGTAGAGTCTCCTCCCAAAGAACGTCACGTTCGTAGTAAGTTTCCTCTGCTTTTTATTAAAAGCCATGACATTTTCGGCATATTGTAATGATGTACATATGGTTATGCAGAAATATTTTCGGCGACATCTGCAATACAACCACGAGCAGATGTTGCTTACTGCATTCATGCATTGTCAAAGAGACTATCTAAAACTCGTACTTGGGTTGTAAGTTTTCTTTCTCTTTCTGAATTTATTACCTTCGATTTATATCGTTTAGTTTTGACAAACACGCACGTACGTACGGACAGGTTGCAATGAAGGTGTTAATAGTAATCCACAGAACATTAAGAGAAGGTGATCCTACATTTAGAGAAGAGCTTCTTAATTACTCACATAGAAGACATATTCTCAGAATCTCTAACTTCAAAGATGATACAAGTCCTCTTGGTGAATTTACCATCGCTCTCTCTCTATTTTTCAACATATGCCTGCCTATATGTTTTTTTAAAAATATTCACTTGATAAATAATATTATTGTTTCTGATGCAGCTTGGGATTGCTCTGCTTGGGTTAGAACCTACGCTCTCTTTCTTGAAGAGCGGCTTGAGTGTTACCGTGTTTTGAAGTATGACATAGAAGCAGAGCGTTTGCCAAAAGGTGGAGGTGCAGCTTCCAAGGTCTGTCTATTGCTTCTCATCATTATCAAGAACACAACTCAAGAATTTATTACCAGAAAGAAAGTAATCTTGATTGTTGTGTAGACGCATAGGACAAGGATGTTGTCTGGTGAAGATCTGTTAGAACAGTTACCTGCGTTGCAACAGCTTCTTTACCGACTTATTGGATGTCAAGTAAAGTCATCATGTTTTTTACAGCTTTTGTTCATGCACTGGAGAAGATTTTGTCTTCCTTATTTGTTTTCAGTTTTGCAGCCTGAAGGAGCAGCTTATAGCAACTATCTTATCCAGTATGCTCTTGCATTGGTCCTCAAAGAAAGCTTCAAAATCTATTGTGCTATTAATGATGGAATCATCAACCTTGTAGACATGGTTTGTTTTCTTAAAAAGAAAGATTCATTTCCTGCTTTTTGGTTTGCTCTTTGCTTTCTACTCAAAGATTGTATGTTATTTCTATGTGTCACTTTAGTTCTTTGAGATGACAAGACATGATGCAGTTAAAGCTTTAAACATATACAAACGAGCTGGTCAACAGGTGAAGGCTACTACGCTTAATCAGTCCCATTTCTATGTTTTGAGATTGTTTTCATAGACGTAAAGGTTTACTACTTGTTGATGTTATTCTTTGCATATGTAGGCTGAAAATCTGGCTGAGTTCTATGATTACTGCAAAGGGCTAGAACTCGCTAGGAACTTTCAGTTCCCTACCTTAAGACAGGTTGGTTGGCTCTTAGTTTTTTCGTATAATGCATAAAACTGATGTGTGTTTCGCTTCTCACTTATCTAAAAATACTGGTTACAGCCTCCTCCATCTTTTCTTGCAACAATGGAAGAGTACATCAAAGAAGCACCTCAGAGTGGTTCTGTACAGAAAAAACTGGTAAAACATGGATTTCATCTCATCATATTCTCAAATTCATTTTGAACAATCCCCATTTCATTTGACATTTTGGTTCTGCTTGTATTACCAGGAGTATGAGGAAAAAGAAGAGGAACCAGAACCACAAGAAGAAGAACAGCCTGAAGAACCTGCAGTAGACGAAAACCAAAACACCGAAACTGATCAGCCTCTTGTTGAAGAAGAGGAAGAAGAACCTAAAGAGGAGAAAGAAGAGGAAGAAGTTAAACCTTCACCACTGATAGACACTGACGACTTATTGGTGAGTCTCTTCTTCAATATCTCTACACATTTGTAAAACCAAACCTCAAAACTTAGTGAATATTTTCTTTGGATTGGTGTAGGGCTTAAATGAAATAAACCCACAAGCCGCAGAGATTGAAGAGAGAAACGCATTGGCTCTTGCTATTTATCCACCAGGTAGAGAGACAAAAAAGAAACAACACACTAGTAAAATCTTGACTTTCTACCATTGTAGGAAAAGATCATAACTGATAAAGCATTTGTCTCTACAGGACATGAAACTTCAGGCCCTTCTAATAGTCTAAGCTTGATAGAAGCTGGAGGAAGTGGTTGGGAGCTTGCATTAGTCACACCACAAAACAGCAACAATAACAATAATCCTCATCCCAAAATAGCAACAAAACTCGTAAGTCTCTCACTTAAAAATTGTGATTCAACTTAAGCTGAGATTTAGAGAGCCATAAATATTATTAGTTTCATTTTAATTAAAATTTTCAAAAATGCGATCAATATATATAATAGCTCTTTAAAATTTGGGGGTTAGGGCAAATATTTCATCCGGCTGTGCGGGCTGAACTGAAGATGACTTTCTATTTCTAACTCACATGGTATCACTTTTTTTATAGGGAGGAGGATTTGACAATCTTCTACTAGATAGTCTCTATGAAGACGATACAGCAAGAAGACAGATCCAGTTAACCAATGCTGGTTACGGATTTGGAGCCACGGCTACACACGGAGAACCACACTCATCTAACCCGAACCCGTTTGGGATGCAACATGATCCTTTTGCAATGTCTAGTAACATGGCTCCACCAACAAATGTTCAAATGGCAATGCAACAACAGCAAATGATGATGATGAATAATAATCAAAATCCATATAACAACAGCAACAACTATTCACCTTATTATCAACAACAACAACAACATCACTTCTCATCAAATCCTTCAGCTTCTGCTAACCCTTTTGGTGATACTTTCCTTGCTCTACCAGCTCCTCCTTCATCTTCTTCTCAGCAGCAACACAACAATCATATGCTCCTTTAGGAAAGGTCATCTCAATAACTTGTCTCTGGTCTTCTAACGTCTATTTAATTCAGCTTATATATTTATTATTCTTTAATTATTCTATAGTATAAGACGTTCTATATTGTTGGGACTTTCTTCTCTTTCTCCCTTAAATTTTTAATATTTATTACAGCGTAATATTCGTATTTCCACGCTATTTCATGTTTTTTCTTTGTTTTTTTAAATGTTCAGAGAATAGAAACCAAATATATTGATTTATTTAGAAAATCTAGGAGACTAATTAAGACTGATTGTTTCATCATCAAGAAGAGTCGTAGGTGACTATTCTTTCTATTTTCGAAAATTATTTCATCGGCGAGGATTAGAATTTAGAGGTCACGCACAAAAAACAAAATGGAGGGAAGTTTATTATTAAATGCATTCTGCTTTTGTCATTACAAACCGTTGAAAAACCGTTAGGGCTAAAAAAAAGTCCACAGAGACTCAGGTTTCTTGTGCTAGAAGAAACCTAGCATCTCTAATTCTATCACTGCTAAAGAAAAAAAAGGACAAAACCCTCTTCAAAAATTCTCGTATTTACAAATACACTTACACGGCCCCTCTCTCTCTCTCTCTCACACACGCACACACAAACACAATCTCACACATACAGATAGTTAAAATGAATTTTCAGATTGAATTACGTAGGCAAGTAGTCATAAACTTTACATATCCGACAACAACATATTACCAAGTCTACGAAGTTCTCTGAGAGCTTCTTCAACCGTTAGTCTATGGTTGTCAGCCATATTCTCCGGTGAACTTTGCTCCAACACAGACTCTATCACCTGATAACACCAAAACATTCAAGAAAATGGCTCAGTTCATGTTTTAATCTTGGTTTATAAACTCAAAACTGTTTACCTTAATATGTTCAAGCATGGACCGTCCTGTATTCTTTAACATATCTCCATCACCTACAGTTGATTCCGAATTGGTCTTTTCTCCTTCTTCTTCTTCATGATCTATCGGTTTAGCTTCAGGTTCTACTGGTTCAACTTCAGGCTCTATTGGTTTAACTTCAGGCTCTACCGGTTTAGCTTCTTTCGTCTCCGAACTCTCCTCCCCAGACAAGCCTTTACCTAACCTCCATAACCTCTGGAAATTACCCGAAAGAATATTCCTATCTTTGAAGATATTCACCACTGACTTCCCCTTAGACTCGTTCTCAGGAACAGCAAGTGGCAACTCCACATGGTCCTCACAATCTGCGCTTGGTGAATCAGAAACTGTAGATAACCGTTCAATATCTGTATCTGTGTTGGTCGGAGAGACTGAATCTTTGTCTCCAAGCTGCTTCGACAAGTCATCAAGTAAACTACGTCTAATAGGCTGCTTGTTCCCGCTTCTATTTACTTCAGCAGGTGATGGATCAGACTCAGTCCTCGTAAGCTTAAGCTTCACTCTCTCCGACCAACTCTTCTTGTTCGGTCTCTGTGTTGCTTTTCTTCTCCGTGCTTCTTCTTCCTCAGCACTGTTCATAACTCTCCACTGCTCTTCCCAGTAGCTCTCAGGAACTCTCCCAACAGGAGAACTAGAACCACCAAGTGAGATAGAATCAACAGATAAGCTGTGACCTCTCATAGGTTTCCTAAACCCTTTTGGAAGCAAATCACGACGAGCATTGATCTCCAACGCTAAACTCTGCAATGACTTAGCCTTCTCAATGACTTTGCTCAAATCAATATCCTCCGGAAAGTTGAGTAACCTCTTGAGAGAAGACGTTGCGTTCTCAGTAGCTAACAAAGATGATCTCAAATAAAGTATCATTGAAACCGCCATTCCTGCAACCAAAGCTCCACGTGGAGAGCTTAGGATCCTGAACTCAAACCCTAAATCATCATCCTCAACAGAAGAGACTCTCTCTACCTCGGAGTTGTCTGCAGAGAATATCTCATCCCACACGGTTAAGAGATTGCTTAGAGGAAACTCTCTCCCGAACAAAACACGTAGCCAACGTAGCGCAAAGTACTGTGGCTCAACGCCGAGCTCAACTAGATGGCTGTGGAGAGAAGCGTCAACTAGAGAGAGTAAGTAATACAATGCTGAAGAAGCTTCTATCACTGGAGGCAGTCCAGTGACTGAATCACTTGGAGCTGAATACACAAAGAAGTTCGCCACGGAGACAGAACCGAGAGAAGTTCCACCGTACATGAGAGCATCAAACATCGAGTATGCGTCATGTTCCATGAATTTGTCTGAGAGGACGATACCTAACTCACCTTCTGCTCCGTAAGCATCACTCAGCAGAACAGCAGTCTGTGTCTCCGTGTCGAGTTCATCGAAACGCTTTGGTTTTTTCTTCTTGGTGGTTCCAGAAGCATGACCATTTTCATCTTCCTCTTCTTCTTCCATGGAATCATCTAAAACTTTCTTAATATCGAAATCGTAAGCTGCGGAATCACGTTCTTGAAAGGCTAACTCATCAAACAAATCAGTAAACTGGTCTTCGTAGTTTGATCTAACTTCCGTTAGATATTGCACATCCACTTGAAGTACATAAAGCAAAGGAGCCAACAGTTCATGCATCCCTAAAACACCAAAACAAAAAGCCGTTACAACGCATCATTCGTCAAAGCAAGTATCTGTATCAAACCATAGTCTAGTAGTAGACGGACTATGGGAAGCTAAGCAAACTCGGGTTCGAAACAACCCCACGGCACTAAACATGTGTTGGCCACGCGGATATGGGACCATGTTTTAGGCCCCATTTGAATACCCGAAGAAGAGAAGGTCCATGTACTTCTCATTGGGATTAGTCTGGGCCTTTCCGTAGGTCCAGGATACTTTCAGGTTTATAAAAAGTAACTGAACTAACCTTGTCTATAACCAATCTCTGGATGCTTCAAACACCAAAGGAGAAGTATCCTTCTTAACATCCCTTGACATCCAGAGGATTGAAAGTAACTCCCATGCTCTGGATACAACCGTGAAAGATCTTGATCTAATGTTTTCTCAAGCTCTGCATTACGGAAGAACCTCCCCCAAGTACTATCTACACACAACAATCCAGAAACTTTTACTACATTTGGAGAAAAGGATCTTTGATTGAAGTTATTATATGTTTTTTTTTAAGAATGTTATACCAGGATTCTGTGATAAAGGATTATCAATGGTTAGATCTGGAGAATTGATTCCTTTCTTAGGCAAATGTGGATCAATCAACAGTCTCCTTCTCAAAGCAGCATATCTAACAAACAAACCAACATAAAAGAAATCAAAACTTTACCTTAAAAAAAGAATCTTTGAATGTTAGGGAAAAAGTCAAAAACCTTCTTCTGGAATCGGCGGTGACTCTGCGAAGCTCGTCGATGGAGGAGGAAGGAGAAGATGGTAAGATTCCGAGGTTGATTCGCCATCGGACGCCGCGAAGCTTCTCGAAGCGGTGATCACCGGAAGGAGAGGCGCATGTCGCTCTCTGGATTTCTTCAGAGATTGTCATGTTTTTGGATAACACTCTCTTTGCTTCATCCAATTCTTCGATTTCGTACTAACAGACAAAAGAATGACGATTATTACAATCGCTTTTTTTTTTCTTCTTCCGACAAATCGAATCAGTTTGTATTCTTGTTATGTTTTTTTTTTCCTGGTCGTGGAGCTGGGAATCTATGATTGGTTCGGAGATGAGAATGGTTTTTGGTCTTCCTCAAACGATGTCGTTTCACGTCATGTGTTATTTTTTTCATGAAAAAATATTGATTGGAATTAGATGAAGATGATACAACGGTAAAATACTAAACGAGATCATTTTACTGTTGAATTTGCCATGTTAAATTTCTCTTTTGAAAACCAAATTTAGCAAGGATGTGCATTGATAGAATCCGATGATTATGTTAAAAGGATGTGTATCATCACTACTATAAGGGGTAAATGCACTTAAATGATTGGGTGTAAAGTGGAAATTTGTATTTCATATCGCTAATCAGTCATAGACTGGTGTGATCATTGGAGTTTGTGGAATGGACGTATGAAGTTAGTAAACATTTGTATGACATTTGGTGATTTTGTTGCTTCTTGGGAGATGATTCTTGAGGTTACTATAGCTTGAGGAAGTGGTTGGAAGTAGCTTCTCTAACTACCCGTAGAAGCTCTCGTGCCACCAGATGCAACTTGTTGTTTGACGTTGATTCGTTTTTGTGTTAGTTTTTGGAGAAACTGTAGATTCTTCTTTTGTTCGAGGTTTTGAGGGCGGCCTTGAGTGATGGTGCTCGTGGCAACGAGGATGAGGACTCAAGATCTTTAGATCTGTGGCAACAACACAAATGTCCGAGCTTATATGTTTGGAATCGGTGTTTCTACCTTGTTGATATTTGTTGGTGAATTGTTTCCATGTTATGTTGTTATTCGTTCATTCTTTACACGGTAAAAATTACCTTGTAGTGAATCATAAAAGAGTCAAGAAAGTAAACTGTAATTTGCAATACAAAGAAAGAAAAATTGACTACTCTGTTTGACCACAAATTATAAGTTAAATCGAATATCCCCCTAAAGAACGGATATATATATATAGATGCGATGCATGTCATAGGATAGGACTACCTAACATTTTCTTAGTCACTATCTCAAAATCTCTTACCAACAAATCGATAGTTTATTCATATTTAGAACATTTCTTTGGTGACCTCCCCAGTTTTCCACATCTGAAGTTTTCTACACTGTATTATTTATTACAAATGAATAAAAATAATATAAGTGATTAGACCGCAATAATTGAACCAAGCAAGACCCTACCTACCAACCGTCTTTGAGCCATGATAACAACCTTCAACTATTATACAAATAGAAAAATCTTAATTTGGCAATACTTAAGATGGCGGGTCTATCCGATTACCTCGATGTTGACCATCATCGGTGATCACATTCACAGGCTTATACAGCTGTGAACCTAGCGCTTGGCATTGGGGGGTCCTTCGATTTGGTCCAAACGGATTTCAGATTTTTGGGTTTACAAAAACCAATCTTATTCAGATATTATAAAATTTAGTTCAAATTTGGTTCGAATTTAGTCAGATTCGGTTTGGAATTTAGTAACATATCCAAAAATCAACTGAATTTGATACAATTTCGGTTTCGGGTCTTAATCAGTTTTTTTGGTTCTAAAACACTAATTTATACTTAGTTACACTCTAAAATACTTAATAATGTACTAAAATAAATAAAACATCCAAAACATCTTATTATATAAAGAAGAGTTTTCTTCCCTCTTGTGATGCCATGTCACTAAATAGGATGAGGAAAAAATGACACATGGCATGCAAAATTATTATTACAAAAAATAATGTTTAACATTAACCGAGGCTTACTTTATGTGAATGCATTTATTAATTCTTTTTAAGAAGTATATATCTTTTAATTTTGAGATAAAAATATATTAAAAATAATAGTATCCATGAATTAAAAAAAAATATAAGGCTGAATATAATCTAGAATTTATATTCTTTGATATTTTATTTTATCAACATTGACAAATGTTAGAATTTACTGATACAATAAAATAACAAAATATAAATAGTGAAAAATATTATTAATAAAATAACAAAATATAAAAAGTGAAATTTAATGTTATTTTTATTTTCAATAAATTAAAAAATTAGATAGTCACTAAATTTGAATATATATATATTTTTATGTGTGTATCTGACTAGAATTTTAATAGTAGCACATTAGAAATTAATATGCCTTAAATATAAAGGAAAAAAAGAATACAAACTAAATCAAAAGGAATAAACACATCAAACAAATACAAAGATTCCCACATAAATTGGCTGAAAATAATCTATAATTTATATTCTTAGATATTTTATTTTATCAGCATTGACAAATGTTAGAAATTACTTATATAATAAAATAAAAAATATAAATAGTAAAATTTAATGTTATTCTTATTTTCAATAAATTAAGAAAAATCATATACTTACTAATTTTGAATAAATATATATATATATATATATATATATATATATATATATATATATATATATATATATATATATATATATATATTTATGTGTATGTATCACTAGATTTTTAATAGTGGCACATTATGAATTAATATGCATTAAATATACAGAAAAAATCAGAATACAATTTAAATCAAAAGGAATAAACACATCACACAAATACAAAGATTCTCGCATAAATTATATTGTATGTTGTTGTTAAAAATAATATTTTATACATACTAAACTTATATCAATTACTGCGTAAAAAATAATCTGACATATAAAAATAACTATGTGCTTATGAAAAACAAACAAAACAAAAAAAAATTATAATACTAAAAATAATATAATATTACAAAATATGTTTGACAGTAGATAAAAATAAAAATGTCCAAAATATTAACGAACATCAAATTTTGATAGAGATTGTGAAATGTTTAAATGAACATGTCATTCATTTATTATAGATAAAGTAAACACTAAATAACAGTCAATTATCTTGAAACGATTACACACAAGATGAAGACAAAATAAATCTGAATATCAGGCATATAACCTGAAAAAAATAATATGTCATTAGCTGAACACCATCCTGTCTCATAATCTTTCAGCTCATAACACCACTTCATTGACCGCTAAGATCTCACAGTTTTTTTCCTGATGAAATACAATCAGAAAAAATAAAATGAAAAAGAAGGAAAATGAGAAAATATTGTTACGTTCACTATATCTAGCACAAAGATGAGTGTGCGTTTATCTCTTTTGAAACAGTAATAAAAAAGTAAATGTGAGTAAATATCTTTCCACTTGATTGATAGTTTTAAGAATAAGTTAGAGAAAAATTTGCACATAATACCATAAGTCCCATAATAGAACTTACAAAAATACACAACTTATCATACTGATCCGTATAACATGTCCCAAACAAACATAAAGTAAACCCTAAATACAGCCACCAAACTTTCAAACAATTTAATAACTTCTAAATCATTATAACTAATATTTTATTTTTAATGAAACAAAACAAATTGACATTCATCTTTTTGTTAAAAAATAATCATTTAGTAAAAATATATAATATAATTAAAAATATAAATTTATAATTACAATAAATAAATTATTATAATCATAACAAAAATAATCATTTAGTGAAAATATATAATATAATTAAACAAATAAATTTGTAATTATAATAAACAAAATAAATGAGAAAGAGGATAAATCAATTTGTGCTATTAATCTTTATACATTTCATTAGATTTATAACAACGAAATTAAAAATATTGAATCTCACAGATTTTTTTGTTTCTTTTTACTACCAAATTTACGGTTAACCTAGAATACAAAATGATATAAAATAATTAACAATTAATATATAACGAAAATAATTTTAAAACCAAGAACTAATAAGATATAAAAATAAACTAATTAAAATTTAATTATGCTATGTAATATAACTTGAGTTTAATGAAAAGTTTTTTCCCTGTGTTTATTGAAAAATTTAATAAAGATTTAATAGTTAAGTAAAAGTTACAAAATACTTAAATATATTCAAAATAAATAAAGAATTCTATAAGTTTTGAAAGACGAAAAATCTATTATCATATTGTTTTCTTTTACGTTTCATCAAGCCTAAGGAAGAAAAGATGCACACACTAAATTTTCTTTCGATTTTAGCTAAATAAGATCAAATTTAGAATAATTATAAAAAAATTCAAATAGTAAACAATGAGTAGTAAATAACCAAACAAATTTTTTTTAAAAAAAAATGAAAATAAAATAATAACACACAACAATAAAGAAACAAAAGTTGAAACGAGCCACAATACACAACAATTATATGCAAAACACATACAGATAATCTATGACATACAAAATTTTGATATTAAAAATTTAAAATTTGAAATACTAAAAACAATAAATATTTAAAAAATAATTATATAATTGTCTAATTACCTATATTTTATATTAGATTATAATATTTATATATCAAAATAACATACAACATATATAATTAAAATTTTAACTAAAAACCCGGGCGTAGCCCGGGCAAGCCCTAGTATATTATATTCTTATGTATCAGTGTCATAATCTAGGTTTAGCGAAAGATCATGTGTACATGCATCAACTTAATATGAACTGATATAAACTTAAATCACATAATAAAATATAAAATATTAAAGTTACTAATTAACAATTCTGTAAACATTAAAAAGACTATTTAAACTTAAAAATAATAACATTGTTTAAACTTTAAATACAATTTCAAACATAAATATTGATATTAACCAAATAAAAATATATAGTAGACTAAGTATCCTAATTATTGTATGTATTCAATAATATTTTAGTATGTTTTGGATACATATTATAAATTGAGATTGGGCATGGTACAAGTTTTGTTAGAATTTTGAAGTTTCGGGGTTTTTTCGAATATCCATTTAATTTTGGGTTGGTTTGGATAAAACTCATAACCCAAAATACCGTAAAACATGATCAGTTTGGTATTTATGCCTGATCGAATCAGTTAGGATTCATTTTTATCAAGTCGAATTATGTTTGAATTTTTGGACTCTGTTTAATTGCCCAACCTTATATTAACCTGAGCAACCAAGAAAATAAACTAT